GTGCATAATGTTAAAACATCTTATGTTACAGTGTTTCCTGCTTGTAGTGGTGCGCCTCTGAAGATGATTCTTTTGAATCGAAACATGTAAGGCAAATAAAGACTGAAGTGTTGTAAACCTGTATGTCATACTGGACTGAACGTTATCTACTTTGTAATTGATAGTGTGACGGACTAGAATGAGACAAATCAAATTATTGGAATTTAATGAAAATCGTTTAAGCTATTTTTGAGAAAATTGCCATTTGCATTTTTGGCCCTGTTTGAAGGGCTGCTAATTTTGGCTGGCTCTGTTCAGATTCACAAGGCACCAGTTTATTATGGATGAACTCGGGAAAGCCAGATATGATTAAAATGCATCAAGCTGTTCAAGTGCTAGCTAGGTCGTGGTCCAGACATACACATAGATGGCATACCAAAAGCCACTTTTTTGTAAAGAGATCTAAAAATATGTACACTGTTGATACTCTCCCTCCCCCCGATCACAGTACTTTTATATAGTACTACTCACATAAGAAAATTAAAATATATTGTGTTGAGTATGGCATTTGGATTTCCCATTGTATTAAAATTACATGCAGTACTTTGTCCCATTGCCATGGTCGGTCAAGATGTTACTGTGTATTCTTGGTTTAGTTTATGACACTTTTAGTTGATATTGTATAATGTTGAATGATGCGATGACTAGCAAATAACCAGTTTTAAAGGACATGGAAAGAAGCTTCGATGGCCTGATTTGAGGTACTGCCTCAATATTTGCCTGTTGAGCCTGAGCAAAACTTTTCACACACTTTCTCACTGCCAGCTTTCCCAACTTCTGTCTCACATGCATTGACAATTTTCGCATCTTCTACCTCAGCCCGCCTTTCATCTATTTCAGCAAGCATGCAGTATTTTTTAAACCTTTGACTATCACCGCTGGAGAGATCTGTTACCATAGACTTGATATGCTGTCAGCAGTTCTACACCGGGTTTCTTCATTTTCCTCTTTGGTGTAGGAACATAGTCCCCTTGCAACAGCCATTCTGAAAACAGTTTGGTTCATAAGTCATCCACCCCATAGTTTGACAGCTAATAATCTCATTGGCAACTACAGTTTTTCAATTCAGTATCACGTATGATAGTTTGGTGCTATCTGGTAACTCTGTAGTTACTCCTTTTCATAGCCTCATGTTTTTATGGCAGATTTTACACATTGATAGTTTAGTTGGATAGCATGTTGAGATACACAGGCACTTCCTCATCATTACGTCAGATGTGATTATAACTCTTTTTGCAAAATGAAGTTTTTGGACGTAAGGAAAACCTGTTCTTCTGCATCACTTGTGCTAGACTATCTGCAGCTCGTTGAATTAGTTGATTTTGCACAAAGCTCTTGTTCCTTCTGACTCTGGCTCCATATAAGTCTGTGTATTTCAACATGCCATTCATTTTTGCATAATACCTTTTTTGTCATTGTCTGCCACTTGCATTAGCACAGAATCTTGTGATATTGCTCAAATTACTGCTTTAATTTCCAAATGTTGATGGTTTCTTTGGCAACCGTGAAACATATTTTTGCCTCACATTCTCTGCTGCTACTTGTATAGTGCAAACTTTGGCACAGACATGCTAAAAGCTTAAATGCATTGGAAACATGGTGTGTGTGTGTGTGTGTGTGTGAGAGAGAGAGAGATAGATAGATATAGATAGAGAGCTTGCATGCTGGCCTGTTCATTTGCGGGTGTTATTTTGCGCATGCCTGTCCCCCATGTGGACAGGGTTATTAAACATGATCTTTGACCTTTCAAATATTACCCCAGCAGAGGTCTTTGAGGTCATGTTAAAGATTCTGTTTATGTTTAACTGATGCTAGCCATTCTTGAAGAACTGAAAGAACCAGACTACATATGCAGGCAGTTGACACACAGGTGTTACACAGCATATGGGAAGAGATGAGTTGCTGTTAGTACATCCATGGATCAACCATCTGTGTTCACATTGAACAGTAGTGAACTTAGGAAGTTTTACTTACTACAGGTAGAAGCTTCACTTCTGTACATCTTTCAGCTGTTTATAGCAAACGTTTGAAAGTATTGTAACGTGTTTGGAATAGGCACTTCCATGGTAATGCAATAACAGCGAGCCGTTGTGTAGACAGTGCTGAAACAACGAACGTGTTTCCCTGGAGATGAACAACAGAAGGCCATTGAGTAACAAAAGATGGGAGGAAATTTGTTACCAGTGTGTAAAGAGTTACCGAAGCTTCGGATTGCCAAACACGTGAGATCGAACCTTGGCGAGGGTTGTCCTCTACTGAGTCCGCAGAACACCTACATAAGCCAAGAGCTACAGACAACAAGAGTACAGATGGAACCTAGATGCCAGATGATACAGATCAAAGATAGCAAGAACACAGTATTGGGATAGCCGTCGCCGAAGACAGTTGAGATCCAGCCACAGGGAAGGACAGTATAAGCATCGAAGTAGAGACAGAAGTCAGGCGATACTGCAAGTGACAATAATTGTGTGGTGTGTAAGTGTGAGTGTCCAATAAAGATTCGCTAAACCCGAGACCCACATAAAGTTATTTGTCGCGTGACATACCCAACACGTGACAGTGGGTGCACATAGGTATGTGCATGTATAAGGTACTGAGCCTTTTTGACATCAGATCCTGGCCCACAAAGCAAACATAGTTATTAGAGAAATCTTGAAGTTTGAGCTGAAAATAGGTGTTTGAATCAATGTCGAATTCTTTCTCAATTAAGTCTCATAAATTTGAGACTTGCGTGCTCTTAATTCATGCAGGCTGTTTTACATAATGAGAGCAAAGGGTTGGTGTCCAAGTAGCACTCATTTGCCTGGGCCCAAGCCCAAGGTACCACTCATCATGCATCTCCCTAGATCTGCATTATGGGTTTCAATACTACAGTCCAGAGAGAAAGTAGTTTCTCATTCTTACATCTGATCCAAAAGGAAGCATTTCTGTAATGGTTACACAGTTATCTTACAAACATCAAAACTATTTACAATAACTTCTTTCTTAAGACATGTCATGAGAGTGATGGGAAGATATTTTTAATCTGACTCTAATTGGACCTTAAAATAAGAGATCATGAAACCCAGAGAAATGAATTGTGACTGTGAAAATCTTGATATTGGCAAAATGTTAGTTGCAAGTGCAACAGAACTGAAAAATTGGAACTGGCCAAAAATTTAAAACTTATGCCTCTGAGGAAGTACTTAAAATGCAAACACTAGTCTTTCTTTTTATGCTTGCTAATTGGCAGGCTGCACCTGTGAGGCAAACCCTGGTGATTCAGGGCCTAGCCACTGTTCTGTGTAGAAAGATGGCAGGAAAATGCCTCAAATTAGGCCATAACCGCTATTTCCTTTCAGACTCTTTATACATATTCTTTTATTTTCAGCTCTATACTCTGCAATCAGAAGTGTCATTAAAGAAACCAAAAATAGCAAATAATGAGGGGCCAGAAGAACTTATAGCTGAAGAGTTTGTATACAGATCCTGTTAGTGACCAGATACCAAACATAAGCTACAACACCGGTTCTGTCACTGCATTTGTTACGGCACACAAAATGTTCATGCGAATTTTGTAAATATACAAGCCGGAAGGTCATGGGTTCAGTTCCCTATGAGGTCTCTGAATTTTTTTTAATTGACCTGATCCTTCCAGTTGCACTATGGCTCTGGGTTTCACTCAGCCTCTAACAGAAATGAGTACCAGGAATATTCCAGAGGGTAAGGGGTGCCTGGCATGTAAGGCCGACAGCCTCAGTGCCATCAGTGAGCCGATTGTCTAGATAATGTGGCAGCCTCAGCATCTCAACCTCTCCACGGCCTTTTAAGGGATAGCTTTACATTTACAAATGGTTATACTACTTACCTTATGAATTCATTGTATTTGTGTTCAGTGGTGTATAGGCTGTTGGCATTGAACAGAAAAGTAAATATAGATATTGTGCAGTCATATGTAGTTTTAGTTTACACAAAAATTACAGAATTTCAAATATCACATATTAATGCCATCATCAGTATATTCTGTAGCATTTGTGTTGCTCTCATCTCACAAGTTTTTCCAGCTGCCATGTTACTGTTATTGATGGTAATGAGTACTGAACATGATGTGGCCACCTGCAAGAAACATAGTAAAATATTGTAACGTGTTTTGCGTTACTGAAGACGCCGTAGAGATCGTTAACTGGTTTATTCAACAATCTACAACTATCGGCTACAGTTAATTATAACAATATTACGGGTTTCCACAGTTTACAAACCCTACAACAAGATCTCTTAACACTGTCTTCAAGAGTCTTCACGTACTAATAGTGCGGGAGCTATACAAGTCTCCCTGAAATACACACTCCGAGTATAACTGTACTACAGCACTCACTATGTCTTGAAAGCACACAATAAGTCTTCCGCTCGCTGACTTCTTAGTTATCGCACACTCGCAGGCTGCTATGTTTCAACTCGGCGACTGTTACTTTATAACTGACTCGCAGCCACTGTGCAGCTCACTTATATAGCTGCAGTGCTTGCTTGTTGCGTAATGAGTGCCACGTCATCCTGTTACGTCACCGCTGTTGATTCGCCTTGCATAGTTACCCGGTTACGGGGCTCGGCTATCTTTGGCTCCGCTCGTGACGTCACCGCGCATAGCTGCCAGGATGCGGGGTGATTACTCGCCTATTACGCGAGCGTTACGTTACCGCTGAGGGGTGGGAGGGGAGCGCTGACTCACCCGCCGCGTCACTGCTGGTGTGGGGGGGGGGGCTCGGCTTTGCGCAACATGTCACAATATGTATTTAGTAATTTGTTATATTTTGATTAGGTTTGTGAACTTCATTCCAAATGAGATCTGAAGAATTTTATTTGAAATGTATGGACCTTTTTGTTAGTTTGAAGATTCTGTATCCACATTCCAGACAGTTTTCTTTATATTTAATTATTTTCGCTAAGTGCATATATAAACTAGTGTTTTATGAATATTGTTACAGCATCAATGACATCAACAGCTTTAATCTAGAGAGGATAATCACAGTGAAAGGATCTATAGAAAACATGTCAAAGGCGGAGGCATTAATCAGCGCCAAATTACGGCAGAGCTACGAGAATGATCTGCAGGCCATGGCTGTGAGTTCCTTACCTTAATTCAAAGCAGTGTATTCAATTTTATTATATACAAAAAGGAAGTGTGTCTGCAACATATGAAGGGCTATCAATGTTTTTATATATACATATAAATGCTTGGGTATTCAAATATTTTAACCAAATCTGTTTAGAGTGAAATATTTTAGTGACTTAAAATGGAAATTCTTAGCAGCCGTGCCATTATTTGGTTCTCAAGAAGTTCTCTGCTTCATGGAGTTAGTCATCGTCGTTAAATACAAAGTCCTATCAGAAAGTTCCTGGACTAGGTCAAATGCTGGCCTACCTTACTCAATTTGGCTGCCTTTTCCTTGAAAATAGTCTCCTTGGAACGTATACAGCGATCCCATAGTTTTTTCCATGCTTCAAAAGCACCGCAGAAGTCACTTTCCACAGTATTGTTGAGTACTGCTTGTGATTCCCTTTGGAGGTCAAGCAGTGTTTCAAAACCTCATCCTTTCAGTTTCATTTTCAATTTGGGAAGCGAAGTGAAATAACGGGGTTAAGTCAGGCGAGTAGGGAGGATGGGGAATGATAATCATGTTGTTTGTTAATCACAAACTCTGGTTTTCAGGGAAGTAAGGGTTGGCATGTTGTTGTGATGGAGCAGTGCGGTGCTGTTCAAATTTTCTGTTAAGATCTTGCAGACTCTATGACTGATAACAGCAGTGTCTGCAAGCTCGTGGATTGTTTGGCAACAGCCCTTCGTGGATGGGTTCTTGAATATTTCAACATTTTCTGTCGTGTTGCTGGTGCTTGGTCACCCTGAATGTTTATCATCTTCAACTGAGACTCAACTGGCCTTGAAACGTTAATGCCATTCAAAAACGGCTGTCTGGCTTAAAGAATGTTCTCCAAATGCCTCCAGAAGCATTTCCGTGGTTTCAGTATCGGATTTATGGAACTTCACACGAAACTTGACGCAGACAGATCACTTGATTTTGCCATCCATTGCAGTCAAAACACAATTGCAAAAAGGCACTTGTGTAAAAACAGTTGGTGCTCACAGCGTGATGTCACATGGTAGACTGATGCAGTAGGCTTGGGGAAGTGTGACCTTGGCCTCCCATCATCTTTCACCGAGGCAGCCACAATAATGGCAGTTGAGGAACACAATTGTGTCCAGGAACTTTCCCATATAGATATCCACCTCCTACAGTGCCCACATTTGTAGTTTATTTGTGCTTTAAAGCGAGAAGATTGTATATAAACAATTTTTAACATTCAGTTCTGCCTTCAAACAAATGATTGGATTGGAAAATAAGCAAGTAAATAAATAATGTAAGCTTACAGTAACAGGAATTCATAATTCTGAACTGCATTATTAACACAGAAGGTGACATTGTTAAATCTACCTATACAGAATTGTCCTTAACAATTGTGGGAGTCAGTCTCATACCCTCAGAACCTTGTTCAGTACACACAATTTATGTGGAAGAATTGTCTTTTATAAATGATTTTGATTGTCTTGTGTTCTATTTGAATCTCCAAATTAATTATCAAATACATTTCAACAGTAATGTCTTAATGGGTGTGCACATACTGTATGGGCTAGTTCCACAGAATTTGAAAATTTTGGAGAGATTTCAATTGGTGCAGATGATGGAAAACCTTTCTTTTGCTTTGTATGCCAGATTACATCAAAAGTTTCTTACCAAGAACATGTGCTGCCACATGTTCTCACTGCAAGCAAACTTATGCAGATGTCTGCTAGTGCGTGTTTTTACTCAGTTCTTGTAGTCTTGCATGTAATTTTAAGAGGCTCACATAACATTTTGTTTGCAAAACAGCTTCTTAAATTTGTCTTGTATTTCTGAGATGAGAATAATTGTTAAGATAACAGTTTTATGATAGCTCAGTCAGTTTGGCAACAGGCTGTGGGCTGGGGCAGCCAGGCTCAATTCCTGGCAGGGACAAGATTTTTTTCTTCCCTATAGTGTCCAGACCGGCTCTGGGGCCCACCCAGCCTCCTATCCAGTGGGTTTCATGTTAGATTTCCCCAGGGGTAAAGTAGCCAGGGCATGAAGCTGACAGCTCACCTCCATCTAATCCTGAGGTGAAGAACGTTGGAGCTATATCTCCACTCCTCCATATCCCTTCATGGAATGGTGGTTAAGTAATTAAGCACAGGGACAACTTTGACTAAACATTTTACATAGTGTTGTATTTGTTGTGGCTGCTTTCTCTGGCCAACCATACTTTGTATTCAGGATGGATACATAAAGTAGCAGTGAAAATCTATTGTATAAATTGTATGTATGTAATATATACAAACATATATTTATGTGTGGCTTGTTAGTGACTTTCAATATGGACATTGCCTGGAATCATTGCCACCAGTTCATCTTTCCCGTTGGTGTTTTCAAAAGTTTTCATCTTTGAAGTGTGCTGCTGTTTGTGTGTTTCTGAGCAGCCTCAAAGTATGATGTTCCCTGGTTTGCATCCAATGGCAATGATGTCTACCTCAAACATGGGCTTCACATCGCGGGGCTCTGCAGGCTTCCCAGGCGGAATGTATGGCGCGGGTCCAGCTCCTTATCCTTCCATGTACCAGTCATCTGTTCCTGCTGCACAGTCTGGTGGAGCACAGGGTGGAGACACTCAGGTAATATTTGCTTTGTGTTTCAGATTAAGTCTGTCTTTTGGCGAGGTTGCTGCAAAATATAGTATTTGTATAAAGTTAACTGCAAGTGGAATGCACATGCTGTGATACCTTACAGATCATGGTTTTTTTTAGGAGACCACATTTCTGTACATCCCAAATAATGCTGTTGGTGCCATCATAGGGACCAAGGGTACACACATCCGAAACATCATTCGCTTCTCAGGAGCATCTGTGAAGATAGCACCATTAGAGCAGGACAGACCTCAGGACCAGCAGACAGAGAGAAAGGTGACCATCGTTGGTTCACCAGAATCCCAATGGAAGGTACAGTATTTTTGCGCTGTGATAGGATGTACAAATTGTTCCAAGCTGAGCAGGTAGAACCATATTATTCCTGTACCAAGTGCCATAAATGGCAGTTTCCATTACTGATCTTTCTTTATGTTCTGAAATTTCCAACATTTACATTCTATTCTAAAGTCATAAGGACACACGAGGTCTGACAGTAAAGTTCTCAAACTCACCACCGTGTGCTTGCCATAGCAGCAGTAGACAGAAACCTCAGTATGGTTTGATGACACAGGTGTACCAAGTTTATACTATTTGGAAATACTGAAAAGGCTGTGTGAAAAGCTTAGATGGAAATGGCCCAGACTTTTTGCCAACAACTCTTGGATCTTGCATCAGGAGAATGCACCTGCTCACATGGCGCTCTTGTGAGGGAGTTTTTAGCTGGTAAAGAAATAACTGCTGGAACACCCTCCCTATTCACTGGATCCGACCGCATTTAGCCCCTAGTGACTTTTTTCTGTTCCTTAAGATAAAGAAAATATTGAAATGTAGGCATTTTTACAACATTGATGACATCAGGAGTAATAGAGGGCAGCTCTGAATGCCATTCCACAAAACCAGTTCCAAAATTATTTTGAAGGGTGGCCAAGGTGCTGGCATTGATGCGTAGCTTCCAAAGGGAGTACTTTGAAGGCGACCAGAGTGATATTCAGCAATGAGGGTATGTAGCACAATTACTGCGATGAGTTCGTGAACTTTATTGTCAGACCACATATATCATTGGATTACTACTAAAAGTGTTCTTTGTAACCATATGCAGTAAGAAACCAGTGTGGTTGTTACACTTGGTTGTTGATTTATCTTTTTTTAATTGTGATGAATATCCTTTTGGTAAACAAGCCGCATGGTTTGTTGTGTGTAAGTATTGGATGAAATTTGGTTCTTCATGTTCAGCTTCCATTCTTACATGACTGCTGTGTGTGTTTGAAAATAAACACTTAATATACATTCAGCTGTGTATTATGAAATATACAGTGAAACCCCATTTACCTTTCTTTGGGGCACATTGAATGTAATCATTAAACTGAGAAAAGTCTTAAATAGTGGAAACTTAACACTGAGATTGATGTGGCATCATTGAAATTGTATGTGAAGTGAGGGTAACCCTTAAATTGAGGAATACTAAGTGGGGGTTCCATTGTATTCACCATGATTATGAATCGAACTGAGGGAAATTACACTTGGTTTCCAAAATGAAAAATTATATTTGTGTTTGCTGGCTCTTGGACAATTCTGGCCTTACCAAATTTGTGAAGGAATAAATGTATTCCATCCTCACAAGCCACGAGTTGCCTCAGGAATCATATCCAGGGAAGTTGAAAGGACAGTATAGTTGTATATTTAGTAAAAATCTTCACAGATATCTGAAGTTTGGTGTATTCTGCTGAAAACTAAATGGCAGCATCTTCTGTCATTACACCTAGGCTAAAAATTCTGGAGAAGTGAGATTTGCTTTCTTATCTGTGTTAGTGGTACATATAGTTAAAAGAAAAGGATAATCCAAAGAAATGTAAATCTCCTGTCCATGCTGCATTCAGTCCTCAAATCCCTTATTACTTTAAACATTGCATTTCTATAGCTGTTTTCACTGTATATTGAAAGTTCATTGCTCTTATATAAATTATATTCATTCATTCATCAGTCATCTGTTAGACGACGGGTCCACAATCTCTTCCCAAACAGTTCCTCCACTTAATGCAATCTTCTGTTTTTGGAAAGAGACTATCCAGGAAAAGTGATAATGTGGTAGTTTTTCCATTTGCTTTCCACATCGCAGTACAGCAGCCGTTCAAACCACTCTGGTCACGCCTGTTGCTATACGAACTTGAACCATCTCGAGCATCATTTGTTCTGTGCTTCAAGTCGCTACTGATGACGCTGCTTCCGGCATCAGTTTATAAATTATATATACAACAAAAAATAAAAGTTAATGCAATAAAAGACATGATTTATTGTCAAAACCACACGTTTGCTTTTTTTTCCTCTCTATTTTTGTGGCCAAGTACAGAATAAAATTACATAGAACTAATTAACACTGTTCTGGCTAAATGCAAGAAAAGTAAAAGGTGAAACTACCGAAATTATATAAATTGAAAATGTAAGGAACACTGAAGCCCTAAGGGAAATTAAATATGATACCTATAACAATGTTATTTAGTTAAGTACAGTACAAAAACCAGTGAACTCTGTGTGAATTTAAAGCTTGTAATGCAGTTTGGTGTTTAGAATGCATTTGACATGCTACTTGCCAGTCTGGGCATTCACACCAGTGCAGTAGTAACACATACTAGGAAACTAGCAACTGCCTATATATATTACTTTAGGAGGTGGTTGTTTCTTGATGAGAGCCATTCTGGAAAGACGACAGTATCAGAAGTGGAGATATCCAGAAGTGATGCACTGTATAGATCATAAGGAGCATTTTTGCTGTCTCGTCTAATTTGTGTTTGCCTGTTACTTGCCACTGACTTACTCTGTGGTCTAGTGGTCAGAGTTTCTGGAGACAGATCCAGAGGTACAGGTTCAATTCCTGGCTCTACCAGATTTTTTCTGAGATGTAGTGGGTTGGGAAGGGGGTACACTTGGCATTGTGAGGATAATTGAGGAGCTATTTCAAGGAAATAGCGGCTCCAGTCTAGAAAACTGAAATTAACGGCTGTGGAGATATGTTGTGCTGACCACACAACACCCTCTATCCGCTAAAGTTTGCACTAAAATACACTGATAAGCGGCTGTCGCTCGGTTGGGTGATGTACATCACAATAAATACTCGTGGCTTGGAAGAGCAATGTAATGCTTAGTTCATACAAATTATAGGAATGTATTGAATCTATGACTATTCCATTCTGAATTGCACAAAATGGGATATATCTGAAATGCACAGGGCAAATTGTTAATGTAAAAGGAGTGTAGCCACAGGTGTTTAACCACAGTTTTTCTTATTGCTTCTTCCACAACATTGTTTGCAGTGACCACTTCATTCAACAGAAATGATTTGATTTCCTTGGTGTGAATATGCAGTTGAAGCAGGTTCAGATATCACTGTTTGCTTATCATCTGTTGCTGGTTGTCTTGGAGAGAATCCTGCCAAATAGTTAAGACATAATCTGTGCAGTGCAGCAAAGCATCCTTTGTTTAGTGGTAGTAGCTGAGTGCTGAAAGCATAAAGTAATTAAGTAAAAAGCTGCAAACATAATAAGGCATCACTGAAACACGTGTAATGGGTAATGCATATCATTACAGGAAGCTATTAGCAGTAACAAGCAGCCTCCAAAAGTTATGCAGTTAGTCATCAGATTTGATAATCAAGAGTCTGCTGTATAAGATGGTTAAGACTTATTCCTTCAGACCCTTTTCAAGAAGACATTACACTTGTGTTAATTTACTAATATACATGAGTGTCATTATGTCATTGATTACAAGTCCCTGGTCGTACCATCATGCAGTGGTGAACAAGATGGTGTACACAACCGCATGTATTGTGTCTATTGAAAGAATGGTAGTAATAAGGGGACAGGAGGAGGTCTTTGGCATGCAAAACCTATTTTTGTTAAGGTAAATGGCTCAAAGAGTTTTATGGTAATGATGTAAGTTGTTAGGATTTGGAATTTGACAATTTACTCCACTTTCAATAACTTTGATATGTAAAATAATGTTTAGGTTAAAAATGCAAGAATATAAAATTGCCCTTGTATCTGCATTACGCCAGAAAGTATAGTGTATGATGAAGAAGAGATCAAACTTCTTGTGTTATTAGTTACTATAGGATTCTGATGATGGTGTATAACACACAGAGATATTGGGTTTTCGGACTTTATCCATCATCCTGCTTTTAAGATGACTAAGAAAAACATGACGTTTCGGAAACTGGATCTGTTTCCGTCCTCAGGTGAGGGAAAACACCTGTTCTGTTGGGTTCCTTAGAAAGAGCTAGCCTCAATCACTGGACGCAAGGGACCCAACAGAATAGGTGTTTTCCCTCACCTGAGGACGGAAACAGATCCAGTTTCCGAAACGTCATGTTTTTCTTAGATATCTTAAAACCAGGACGATGGATAAAGTCCGAAAACCCAATATTTCTTGTGTTATTGTTCAAGACACTGGATGAATTTGTTCTAGAGTATAAATTTCACATATACAACAATCAGTACTATTCCTCAGGCAGGGCATAGTGTTTTACAACTTTTCTTCCCCCTTCTTTCTTACCAATCTTTGTATTGAATAAGCCTGTACATTCTCATCATTATTAACAATGGATGTATTATAAAGTTTTACCCTCCTTGGCTTAAGTGGGGGGAGGTCTCAATTTTATCAGTATAATGTAAACGTTTTAAGAGCCCTGAGCCCCTGACAGTTCTGATGAGATAGTTGAGTAGCAAGAGAGGCAATAAGAGGAGGCTGGGGAAAATTACATAATGAGAAACTCCATAAATGTGCTTTATGCTAAATAATGTTAGAGACAAAATCAAGGAGGATGAATTGGGTAACACTTACAGCACACATTAGAAAGATAGAATATTAAGGTAAAATCATTCAGAAAATTCGGAGGGAAGATATCAGGAATAGTAAAGTAAAAGGAATGGTATCTTTATAACAGGCCGTGGAGGCCCATGGGGTTGTGAGAATTTGAGGTTCCCACATTTTCTAGACAGTCAGTTCATAGATGGCAGCAAGGTTGTCAGCCTTATGTGCTGGTCACCCTTTACCCCCAAGAACATTTTATGAATATTCCAGGTACTCATTTCTGTTAGAGGCTGAGTTGACCCCAGGGCCATAGTGTGACTGGAAGGATTAGAAATCCAATGACCTCATTGGGACTTGAGATAGAATGTAATAGATACTATTAAACTGGATTAGGGTGGGCTGAAGTCATCTGATCTGGGAAAGGATTCAGTCTTGTGCACATGTTAATTAACCAAGCTCCCTAGTCAGTGAATTTCTTGACTAGCTGAGTGGTTGCTAACTTCTCACAAAATTTTTATTAGGATTACTGCCAAAGATTTGACTTAAGATGCTACATATCTACCAAACTTCATGATGTCACATCTAAGGATACAGAAATGTACATAGTCACTGCTGTTGGAACATTGAATCTCACATATTAGGCACTTGGTCAGATAACAGGTGTGTGACTTACAGGCTCAGTACCTCATCTTCGAGAAGATGCGAGAGGAAGGTTTTGTTGCTGGTACAGATGATGTGCGCCTAACAGTAGAGATCCTGGTGCCGTCAAGTCAGGTTGGGCGCATCATTGGCAAGGGTGGACAAAATGTGCGTGAGCTTCAAAGAGTTACGGGTTCAATCATAAAACTGCCAGAACAGGGTGCCTCTCCCCCTTCCCAAGATGAGGAAACTACTGTTCATATCATTGGACCCTTCTTCTCAGTCCAGGTATGCATTCTTTCAGGTTATTGACATTCCTTTTAATATGATAAATGGTCAAGTAGGTGAACTCTGGCATTACATTATGTGAATTGCAGTCTTAGAAGAAAAGAACAAAGAAAGTTCAGTATGTGGGAAAATGTGCCAAGAAAAATATGTATCATGATTGATCCTGGCATAGTACAATTTTTTAATTTCTCACAGAGTCCTTCCACCATGTTCATTTACTTGTGTAGAAACATGGTAATAGAATAAAGTGTTAAAATCTTGTTTTGAAAATGTGTACACACTACATAGTACTGTGCATAAAATGGCATTCAGTTGTATTTTTATTGTGTAAAGAGGACAGACTGTGATATGTGAAAATTTCCATATTGCTTGCAATTTACAGCGCCACAAAACACATTTATGACTAACATAAAAATTTGATTTAAATACACCCTTTTCTTGTACAGTGGAAAGCCAAACATGCTTTTTATGTTGTAGAACCTGTTGCTTTGGAAGCTCTTCTGCATGTGTCACTTTATTTGAGCTGCTTAATAAAATTTATTTTGTGATAGTCGGCTCAGCGTCGCATCCGAGCCATGGTTCTGCAAGCCCAACCACTGCCTGCAGGGGCACGGGGTGGTCAGAGAGGGGCACCATCACGTAGAGAACCACCACAGCAGTAGGAGTGTGGATATGATTGGAGGACGAGCACTGATGGCAACCACAGTTGCAAGTTTGAAACAACGTATATACCTCAATATATTCAGAAGAAAGCAAACAAAGTACACCCCCACATTTATACCAAAGATGTGATGCTGAAGAACGAAGAAACAATTTTTAAAAAATACCATTGGGAAATGAAAAATAACATTTCGAGTTCCTGATAATATTTTGTGTGAAATCTTTTTCCCATAATTCGTCCGTTAAGTACATCGTTGATTGCTTATAAACTGGTAGTTACAGATGTGTTTTAACGGGAAGATAACCAGGATAGGTTTTTGTGTATGAGTGTAAGCAGGAGGTTTTGAAGTGGAGTTCTGGTTTAATTTTCAATTTGATATAAGGGAAGCCTCGCAGGGTTTGGAAGCAGGTAACTGTTTCTCTGTTTCCCTGTCTTAATCATTACTTAAATTGATTCAGGGACTTATTACGCATGGATGTAGTGTTCTTTTTTATTATTGAGGAAAAAGGGTGAAGCGTGATTTAGAGAGAATGGGTTGGAAGTGATCGCAATGAGAGTATTTTTGTTTTTGTTTTAGAAACAAAATGAACAGATATGTTGTGAGGGTTTGGGTAAGTGACTGTGTGGCTGGTTGCGCATGTGACACTTTTGCCTTCTTACCTCCTTCCCTGTCTTAATTCCATGATGGCATTAATCTAACCGCCTCCCTAATTTTTAAGGGGGGAGAGAATAGTTTATGAATGTTTTTTTTTTCTCTTGGGGAGTCGGAAATCCCTTGGAGAAGAAGAGGGATAATTGCGTATTCGTCGTATCGTCTTACTGTATGTAAAAGGAAAGGTCCACCGAACTTTCATTCAGTCAAAAATGTGTATTTAAAAATACTACGAAGAGGAAGGGTAATATGTCGATTTTTTTAATAATGTGATTCGATATAAACGGTGTTTTGAGACCTCGATTTTAAGGAGGTTTCTTAATGGAGGTGAATGATAAATAAGCAATTTCAGGGTTCCGAAACTACCATCTCAATCGGATTCCCTGTTATTTAGTTAGTACAAAAATTAAATTAAAATATAAAAGAGGGCCACTATTGTTGCAAATATATTGTGGTTCTTTTTTGCCTTTATAAACAAAGTTATTACACAAAGTTTATTTTTGATACATTGTTGGGAGAAATTTTTTTTTGTTAGATTTTTAATATAAAAATTAAAATGACATGTAGCTGTTTGGGCTATGTGTTGTAGAAAAATGGAGAAGAAAACGTTAGCCGAGTGAGTGTGAAAGAAACAAATGGCTGCACATTATTATATTTAAAGAGTAACCAATAACAGGCATAACAATGTCCATACATTCTGGCCGGCAAGAGTGAACCAGCGAATGTTAGCATAATCTTATCATCTCAAAGAAAACCCAATGTGCAAGCAGGAAGCCCGCTGAGCCTCAACGTTTTTCAATTCATTCAAATCAAAACTGTCTCATGGTCATATATTTTTTTTTAATTTTCAAAATTTGAATACATTGATTTAGAGTATGCTCAGAAGTTATATAAAAGAAAGCTGATTTTCACATTTTGATCCTCAAAGCAATTTAGAAGAAAAGACTGTGAATCTTTTAATGGAAATGTGTTTCTTGCAGTCTCCTTTTGATTGCTTGAGTTATTGAACCCTTTAAAATTTTCACATGGATTTTGGAAAGATTGAAAACATAGCAAAACACCACAAACCAAGACCCTCCAAAATAAAAACAAACACAGCTGATAGAAAATACAAAAAAAAATGTTTTATTGTACAAATGCAAGATCGAAAATGGAACTTTTACCGACTGACACTGTAAACTTAGGTGGATTCTGACATATTACTGCAGTAAACAAAAATACTACAGGGGAGACCTTACATTCAAAACATTGAACTACATATAATAGAAATAAGGAATATGGACTACGCATAACTGTGTAAACATTCAGAAATTTTTTGTTTGTTAGGAGGTGAAATTAAAAGTAAGTCTATAAGAAAGTGAAGCACACTTGCAACAAAAAAATTATAAAAATATAAGCATTGCATGTGATTTGAAAGTCCCTTGCTTAGCAGAGATTATCTGGACTGTTTTGTGTTTGCTGTTATTGCTAGATGTGACAATGCCAGAGAAGGAAAGCAGTCACCTGCTGGAATGGGCTTAGGCCATAGCAACCCCCTCCTCTCTGCTGCTCCATCTGGAGTGATGGGTTTATGTCCCATAACCTAGAGTGGTCACTAGGCAGAGTTTGGGTGTTGGGTTGTGCCCTTTTTTGCTCCTAGAGGCGAGGCTGTGTTGTTACGGAACACCAAACGCCCGAACAGTGCCTAGTCGGCTGGCCTGACTTTTGTCATTCCAGCATGGTCGGATCTGTTCAGTATAGTGGCTTTCAAATTAATTGTGTATCAATAAATAAAAGAAGCGAACAAAAATATTGAATGAAACTTAGAAGACTGGGAATTAAGTTTTTCCAATGCCGTGAAAAATATATAAGTAGTTGTTTTCCCGAATCAGTCTTATATTATTGAATATATAAATATTGAGTGATGCTCAAATCGTACATTTCAATTCTACCAAAGGAATTGGAAAGGTTTGTGATGAACCGGCTTCAGAATTCTAGCAGCATTGAGCTGTGCTTGATGATCCATATCCTTTGGATGACACTTGAAACAGGGATACTAAAGGGAAAATAAAAGAAATACATACAGAAACGAATATTGTACTGGAGAAACATTGTTCTTTTCAAGATAGTAGGATGTAAGAATCTGAAGAAAATTTACCAGTTGATTGGTTGATGTTTAATTTGTTCCATACCTGGTAGGATGGACCCATGTTACATCAGTTCCTCTTCTGACTACTTGAGAAGCAGTTTTGCAATTTTTCTTCTTAGATACAAACCGTAATTTCTTCTTTAACTCGTAATTTGTAAACCACCAGAGAATGTCTTCTTGACATATAAGGGAGTTACATTACAAAAAGCACACTGCTTCTCTGCTTGAGTGTTGGAATTGTACCTCACAAGCATTGCCAAGGACAGGCCTTTCTCCAAACATTCCACATCGACTGATCAGTCCATGAAAGAACAGCATATCTGCAGTTCTGAATGGTTTTAATGTAGTAAATGCATATATATACATATACATATATATTATTATATAAATATTACAGTATGGATGTTTATGTTCATAATATATACAAACAAATATTCTTTTTTCTCTGTTAATTTTTGCTAAACTCAGGTTTTGCTTTAAACAATACTAATAATAACAATTACCTCATGAGTATTCCAGATGGGACACTCAAAACAATGTAACTGCTTCCCCACCTCAGTTTGTGTATCGATGAATGTTTCGGAGAGAGGTGATCTTGGTTGTGCTGGTGTGATCTAAATGTAGGTACTGTCCAAGTCACTCTTGAGGCATAGGAATGGTTTTTTTTTTTACTTAAAGCATTTCATTTGTTATAAATGACTTAGAATTCTTTCACATCAATTTTTGAAATCTTGACAACTTTTGCTTTTTTATGCTTGAGGCAGGAATTTTTATTATCTTCATTTTAGAAGAAGCAGAGTGCTTTTCCATTTATTTATTTCATGGCATATCAGTTGTAAGGAAGATTAACATTTTTTTTTCTAAGCAGCGTTATCATTGCTGCTGTGTATGTTTTATCCATAAAGGTATCACAGTGGCAGTTTGGGTGTGTTGGCTTCCCAACCACCATGAATTTCTGGGTGTGGTTTTGGCTTTCACTATTTTTAATTTTCTCCAATTTTGAATAGTTTGCATCTATGCAAAAGCAGGAACAGGTTACTTTCTTTTCTCGTGCCAGAACCATTACCCAAAAGCCCATTCACTACCTCAAACAAAAAGAAAATATATATAAATAGACTTAGTTGTTCACGTATTTGAGAGTGAAAAAAAAAAAAGCTGTGTGCCACAAGAACAGCTAAACAGCGCCTCATGGAACAGAAGAAACTCTGTGCCCCGGTTCACTTCACAGTGAATATAATGAAACAGATGGCAGTGGGGATTCAGAAGTAATGAAGCCAGTGTACCACCGCAGTGGCACTGAAAGTTTACCCCGTACCACTTCACTAGTTGATCGACTGGTTTATTTTCATGATTTTATTATTATTATTATTTTTATTTTAATGAGATAGTTTCTGAGCTCAGTTATGTTTTTCAGACTAGACTTTTTTCCCATTATAGTTATGTCTGTTTCATTCAGTGGAAGGAAGGGTTTATAGTTATCATAATCACCAATACTTAACTGTATGACGTTAATAATAATCTTTCTTATATTTTCACAGCATTGCATATGCAGTTTAAGAAAGAACTTTCCTTATCTGTACTATGTACATGCATTTCAAAATTCCTGACCATTAATATAACTGCGTGTTGACTTTAATTTTTGGGGATGGTAAACTGATACAAATTTCCTAGATGGATATGGTATTATGAATATTTTTTTTTTGTTGTTTGCATTATAATTCAGTGAAATTGAACATAATTTCTATGATATTTTGACATAGTTGGGCATGCTAGTATCGCAAGAAGCAATGTGTGTATATATATTCTTTCAGTGGAGAGAGTTTCTTTAGCTTGAGTGCTGATTTGTTGGAAAATTTGCAGTGCAACTAACAGGAACAATGAACATGGTATTGACAGTGCCATATGATGAGGTACGAAGGAGTGATGACTCATTATCGTACAAATTGTTCTCAGGTATAATCAGGTTACTTTAAATAAGATAACTTCTTTCTTATAAACACATAGCGCCCACATTTTTGTGCATTACTAGCATGAATTTTCAGATAATTAAAGAGTTGTAACTTCAGTTGTCCTTCCCATGACACCTCTTTCAAGGTGCTCAGATGTATTATTTTGAAAAAGAATAATGTTGAGAGGTTATTATGTTGTCAAGAGGGCTTATGTGGAGTACTGTCTCCAGCATATCACCACAAGCTCTTGTTGAAAACCAATAGGCCCTATTACTACTACTGCTACTACTACTGCTATTATTATTATTAATATTATTATTGTTGGTACTAATAATTTGATTGTAGAAATATGTATTGCAAACAACAAAACAGCAAGAAAATGTTCTATTTATAATGTACTGTAATACCCAGCATTATAGTCTTATGTTCTGCTCTTTCTGTAATGAACCAATTGTAATTTTTCATATAGCAGTTGAAACAGAAGTGTTGAATATCTTTTGTTATTTTGATTATTTTCTGTCTTTCTGAATTTTGATGATACCATATTAACTTCTCTGTAATATCTCTTCATGTTTAACATGAATAATTATTTTTCTTTTGCGTGACCTTGGCCTAACTTGCCATTAGGTTGTATCCCTGAAATTAGAAGTGTTCGGCCTTTTAACAGCTTGGTGTTCTAGTTTGATACATAAAGAAATTTGATGTTTTATGTTTATGTTTGACAAGGAGAACTTAGCATGTTTTGTGGCAAGTTAGGCCTTCAGTTAGTGTTTCAGATTCAGGTGAAAATAAAAATAAGGTGCTGTGAGTACAAGGTTGCGTTGTCTCCTTGTATTTAATTTAATGTGAGGAATTTATGCTGACCAGGCCTGATTGGCATAACAGTCCTGGAAGAAGGGCATTACAGTGTAAATGTATATTGCTTGTGTGACTGTAAATAGCACCCATCCAAGTTGGTGGTGTGAGATAGGGATCAGCAGCTGATGAGGTTTACTGCAACAATGTTATATGGGTATCATGTCATAATATAGCGATGGCTTCATTTCAGCATGCTCACAACCAAATCCACCCCGAATGGGTCCCATGGCATAACACCACATTACTGCCAACACATATGGAGTTTAAATTGTGCATCTACCTCAATAGATTTTACAATTACCTCATAAACCCATTGGCCCCTCTCAGAAGTTGTGTAGACTGTGTTGAAAAAGGCTATGTAGCTGGATATATCTATATTTCATGACCCTTTTGTGACAGGCATGTGCATCCTAGACTACTGTTTGTGCAGTTGGAATTTTAATAGCCTAACAAGAAAATCATGTATCCCCATAGATTTGAATGTACCTTCATGTCAGAAGCAAGGTATTCAAAATTAATTACCCCCATATTCCTCCTTCCCCCAAAACTTAAATATACTCAATTTGATAGTTATTTATGGGTACAAACTAAAAAATTCCTCACATTCTCACCTATAAAAAAACTTGCCCACAAAATCCTGATATTTACCCTTTTTAATCTATATCATTATCCTCACATGGTAGTAACTATGGTTTCCTGTTCATAAGAGAAACTTTCATGCAGGGAGTAGGCTCGATTGAAGGTGCTACATTGTCTTGAAATATGTGTATAATATGAGGTTCCCCTCCCCCATATCTCTGTTTATTAATTGTCTTGGATTCCTTTCTGGTTATGTCGATCTAAATTGATATTCAGCTGATTTAAACCGAGGTAATATATTGTTTCAGAAAGTAGTTGAAATCTGCAATTTAATGGAGAAGTGTGGAATGTGGCTGATATCCCAAAACAATGTTGATTGTTCAATCGAAGTTACTCTCAAAGAACGCAAGCTTTCGTATGTAATCATGCAATTATAATCTTGTCATTCATTGGCTTCAGTGCCTGAAAAAAAAAAGCATTATGATTTTTTTCCTTTCTTTTGCAATTGGAAGTCAAGCAGTCCGTGATCAAGTTAGCCTCAACCACAGAGGCGCCTGCAATAGAAACAAGATAACATAACGGGGTGGTTAGAGGCTAGGTTTGAGACAAAAGCTGCACATTGGCACTTGAATGATTGAATTGTATAAGTATTTTGTAATTAGTTCAACAAAAAGAAGGGATTATATATTGTAAAAATGCAAATATGTGGTCCATGCAAGCATGCATTCTCCGTTTTCTACCATGAAAAAAAAATTAAATTATTCTAGTTAAAAAAAACTGTGTTTAAGTGAATAATCCTAACATCCATCATACAAATTCCTGATATTGTCCGTGTGTTATGGGTGTGAGTCTGAACTTAATATGAAAGCATGCAAATTTAATATGGTTGGGTTCCACAGATGGTGGCCTCTTGATTTATGCCATTGCTGTAGAGCACTGCTCTTACCCTTTCATTCTACATTATGCTTTCTGAAATCTCTGTGTAAGCGAAGTAATACCCCACGCTAATATTACATTAACTTTTATGGTGTTCCTAATATAGATTATATGCACTAAGAAAGAATAGCAACTCTTTTTAGATATATAGTTGTTTGTGTGCACACATGCACAGGAAAAGCAACGTATCCTTCCATCTGCAGCATTCTGGAGTGACATTCAAAGACCCTGTTTGGCACATTTATAACAAATTGCAAAAATACTCATACACCTGTTAGTTTCACCATGTATGACTTTATCTTTGTAATGACTCTGAAATGTGTCAGAGTTACATGAAATTTTATATTGAATAAGAAGGGTAATATCTGCAGGGTCGAATACGCTGATCAGAATACTGGCACGAAAGCAGGTCATAAGCCACCAAAATTGGTCAGTTCATCCAGTTTGGGTTAAATTTAGTGATATTGATGGAGCACGTTTTTGCATACATGTTGAAAGTAAACATTTAGAAGAGCCAGAGATGTTTTCAGCCGGTCACATTGGCCACACAGTCTAAGAAATGAAATGTCTTTGCCCACTCAAATGCTGGGATTGTGGGTCCAAATCCCACTCAAGGCATAGATGTTTGTATTTCTTCTGTGTTTCTGTTGTCCTGCATAGGTAGCAGCCTTGCGATGGGCTGATCCCCCATCTAAGCAGTTCTACTGTCTAAGAAACTTAAGTGGTATGAAGTGTTCCACGGATGCCCAAATGCTCCATGCGGGAGCAACAGGAACAAAGATGTCAAACACAAGTTTTAGAGAAGACCAAAAACCGAATTGTATGTCCGGTATAATCTTTTATGTGAGATGTGTGGGTAGATTGATAAAGGGAATCTGAAGGTGCTAGAGTCATGATATGCATTTAATTCCTAACTTGAGATGCATGCCATTTAAGGGTTTCAAAATATATTGTGTTTTTTCTGGAGTACACTAATTCCTATAATCTACACTTCAGTTATGTAACAAATTTTCACGTATTTGGGTCTACATTCTTTGTACTCCTTGTACTTCACACTTGTGGTCAATTTACATTGATGTTGCGCCACAAAGAGGGCAGTGCCTGATCTACAGGAAAGCAAGTTGCGCGATGAAGGATGTGTTAAAACTACACATTTCTTGAAAGTTAGGTAGATAACTTAGGAGGAAGAACACTGCTTGCTAGTGGTCACACAGTATGGCTCCATCTGGTAGAAACAAGTGAAATCTGGAAAGATGTGTGTATGCTTGAAAGATTATCATATTTTGAATCAATTTCTGGCCATCTTAGTTTGATATGGCTTGCCTGTTAGTTCGTGTGAGACATGTTCATATTTTAAGTCAATTTGAATTGGTATGTGAAACAATATGGAAGGAGTTTCCTTAGAATATTATTTCTTATAGGATGATTCTTGGCTTATTCAGTTGCAGAAATTATAAAGATGATCATGAATTGAGAATGTTATGTTTTAGCGTCCTGTTGCACTGATTCAAGTCCACGATTTATTTTNAGGATTTTCCCTACGTCGTATTCACTACTCAAGTCACGTTTATCCTCTTCTGTTGTAGCACTCTTTCTATTTTCATGTGTTTATTGTGCTTTTTGTTGTGTCTTGCTCCTGTGACTACGTGTGGGAAGGTATGAAAGAATGAGATTTGCCATAGGAAGATCTGCCGAGGTGGAAAGGAGGATATATTTCCGTTGTTTGTTAGGAAGAATAATTTAGGTTTGTCATTCGCATGTTTGTGCTTTTAAGTAGAAAGTATTGGTATAGATTTTATCGGTAGGCCACCCACTCTTCATAATTCCACACCGAGCATTTTGGGTCATTGCGTATGTCTATTTTTTTTTTCAGAGGTCTGTGGGTAGTTTGTATTATTTGCAGTAAATGGGAGCTAGGTTGTGTCCACCTTCGAAATTTACCAGGCTCCATGTGGCAGAGAATTGATGTAGCTGCAGTATGGCTTCTGATGTTAGTATTTAGAGATAAAATATTGTGACGCGTTACCTTACGTCCACGGCGGCAACCGCTACAATCGGAACGGACACGTGGAAACTGGGGGAGTTCCCGAAGCGACAAACCGCTACAATCGGAACGGACACGTGGAAACTGGGGGAGTTCCCGAAGCGACAAACCGCTACAATCGGAACGGACACGTGGAAACTGGAGGAGTTCCCGAAGCGACAAACCGCTACAATCGGAACGGACACGTGGAAATTGGGGAGTTCCCGAAGCGACAAACCGTAGCAACGAATTGTCGTTGAGTAACAACGGATGAGACGAAACACGTTACCGATGTATAAGAAGCGTTCCCGTAACAACGGGCTGCTTGAACAGCGGTAACGGAACCGTGAGGAATGGTGTCCGGTATCCGGTCCGCATAACCCCTATATAAGCAGAGCCAGAGATGAGAACGAGACAATCTTGGGATAGCCGCCGCCAGAGACAGTTGAGACCCAACCACAGCCAAGGATAGTTGAGACGTCGCATTTGAGTATTGGAGAGTATTAGGCCAGAAGTCAGGCGATATTGCAAGCGACAATAATTGTACGGTGTGTAAGAGTGAATGTTCAATAAAGATTCGCTAAATCCGAGACCCACGTAAAGTTATTTGTCGCGTGACATACCCAACACGTGACAATATGCAGGCAGACATGAACTGCCCACTCCAGACGTTTAGGACATTCTGTATAAGGTGCTATTATGATACATCTAGATTCAGAAGAACGGAAGAATGTTCATCAGTAGAGCATAAGTAGATTTTTAACATAAAGACAGCAATGTGAAATTCGAGTAATGCGTTCAGCACAGGATGTAGTGTAAATTAAACTTGTCGAATATTAAGGAATCATTTGTTTTAACTTCAGTAGTGCAGCAACCAAACTAAATAACATGAGGTTTTGCTTAATACAGAACTTTATAATTCGAACAATAAACAATACAGACTGGCACGGCTTGTAACACATGGACAATCTGAGAAATTTTGGCTGCATAAGGAAAGATATTTGACTGGATCATAAAGAAGTAGGGTTGAGTGTGAAGTAGATTTCTCTGGCTAAAATAGTATGCTGAGCTGCTGTAAACACAGAATATAGAGCCTTCAGGTATTGTGCAAGGCAGAAAATGTCTCCACTAGGATAACCAATAAAAGTGCTGTTCAAAGACTTCGTTCCCCAGAGTTGGCATAACTACATACTCCATATGTGAAGCTTGTAGTTAGAAGTATACAGAATATAATTATGCGGAGAATAAGGTAACGAAAGTGGGTACTGTCTGATATTAAAATTGTCAGATGTCCTCACTCCGGCAGGAGTCCGAAAACTATGCATATGCCCCAACCATGTTTTTTTTTAACATATTAAAGGAAGTATACCAAATAATTATGCGTACTATTTTAATAGTCCCAAACTGCCTGAAGGCAAGCGAATTTATCCCCCCCCCCGGAAAAATTCTGAGGGGCCCCCATGAATGTACTCGTAATACATTTTTAGTAAATAAAAAGAATGCTGAAGAGAGCATAGATTATTAAATGACGTGTACATATTCATGTATCAAAGATTGTACTAAGTGAGTGGCCGCAGAAGATGCGTTCGCCTTACAAGGAATGCGATTTTATTGCTCGTGTCAGGAACAGCGAATCATTTCCTTTGCCAGTGATTCTTGATCCATAGTGTACGCTTTGAAATGGCTGATGATAACAGTAAAGAAATTATCAAAATCACGGGGGTTTACTCCTACACATTCAGAAAGAAACGTGGCTTCACCGGAGTAGTCTTCCGTCTCAGTTCACGGAAAGTTTGTCGGAGCCCACATATTTCATTTTAAACTGGCAGCAGCAGGCTGAACACAGCACGTCTCTTACTGGCTAGTACGATGTCAGCGGCCATGCCTCAAACGTCAAGACATGTGAAGCCTATTGTAGTATAGTGAACATACAAACAAAGACCAAACTCCGTGATTTTTAGTCCGCAAGTGAACTATACCGACCAAGCGACCGCCGCTTGTCGGCGAAGTTAGTGCCAACTTTTGCGGATAGAGGGTGTCGCGTGATCAGCGGAACGAATTCCCACGGCCGTTAATTTCAGTTTTCTAGACCGGAGCCGCTATTTCCTTGAAATAGCTCCACGATTATCCTCACAAGGCTGAGTGGACCCCGTTCCAGATCCACAACTTCTCATAGAAACTCTGGTAGCGCTGGGAATTGAACCCAGACCTCTGGATCTGTAGCCAGGAACTCTGACCACTAGACCACAGAGGGATATAACAGTATAGTGAACATATTGAAGGAAAAGGAACAAGCATTTCGATTACGACTGCAAGAGAAATATATATCTACATTTAACAAAGGAGCGTCCTCGCCCAAGATGTTTATTCTGTTTCAAGTTAAGTGAATATAAGAATATCACTCATAGTTTTACATGGAAGTGGTACTAGTAGATCCAATTGTGAGGTCGAAAGTACAAGCATGTGGCACAACATGAAATTGTCGTTTTTTATTCTTAAGGATTGCATCCTGTTGCACATGTGCAATGAACGTATACAGTTTTTACCGTCAACGCAACAATACTTGTTCATGAAACTGTTTATTTAAAAATTCATGTAGAGTGAGGTGACTGTATTTTAAATGCAAAATTTCGGGGCATTTGACAGCTATATGCGGTGGGACTGGTTGATTCTTACGTCATTGAGTATGAAAG